TTTTCCATGTTGTTTTTCTACAAGAGCAAAAGTCAACATGACAAGTTTGCTGAGCCCTGTTTCTGTCTCTTTTTTATCTATGTAACCAATGCCAATGGAAACATTAGCCACTCTTTCAAACAGCAAGCTGCAGAGGCCAGCAAAACACATGTGGCTTGTTCTTTATATTTATTACATCAAAATCATGCCTACTTGCCTTTTTCCTTCCTTTTATTTTTAAAAACAATAAAATGTAGTGGATGTTTGAGGGAAGATTCCAGGATGAAACACTTTCTGTTTTGATAAGAGGAAAGCCAAGAGTAGATTCTCAGCTGCTTGCATGGATGTGGCTCCTTCCTGAGAGCAGGGATTGACGCCAGGGAAGATCTAGTCTTTTGGGTTCAAAGAGCAACCCATATAGAGTTTCTGCTCCCTGCGTGTCTTCCACTTAATGGGCAAACAAATGTTATCTATTGTTAGCTCTGCAGAGACAAAAGAAGTGCAGGGGGGAAAGCTGGATGTTGCCCTAGCCTGTAGTACTGCATTTGTGTGTAAGCTACTACACAAGTCCTGATACATGTGTGTTCTGGGTTTAGGTGTTTGAGACACCAATGTATGTGTTGTGATACACACAACACACCTTGCTGCAGCCAGTGAAGTTCTGGCAGACTGTCCATCATCTAAGGATGGAGGAGCCAGCCCCTGTTCCCTTGTTCTGCCCTCCATGGGCCCCAGACTTGAGAGGGGGGAGGATGGAGGTGCTCCCAAACGCATGACAGAAACCTCTCCCCAGGAGGCATCCTGTTCTTGCAGCAGGAGGAGTCCCAGATGGATGCAATGCATTTGTTCCTCAGCAGGCTTCAGATTTTAAATTGTAGAATGTTAAGGGAAGGAAGGAACCCCAAAGACCATCCAGTGCTGGCTCATATTCAACCTTCCATCAACCAGGACTCCCAGGTCCCTTTCTGTGGGGCTGTTTTCCAGCCTCTCATTCCCCAGTCTGTCTCTATATCCTGGGTTGCCCCATCTCAGGTGCAAAATCCTAAACTTTCCCTTGTTACACTTCAAGTTGGTGATTGTCCAATCCCCTTATTTCTCTTCACATTTGCTCCTTTTGATGCAGCCCAGGATTCGGCTGGCTTTCTGGGCAGCCAGCTAAAACCAAACTTGCTAAACTAAACTAAACTAAAAAAAAACTTCAAAATACCCTAAGCTTTCTGAACTAAACTAAACTAAACTAAACTAAACTAAACTAAACTGCTCTAAGCTTTCTAGACTGCCAGCTCATGTTGAGTTCTTCATCAGCCATCACTCACAAGTCCTTCTCTGTATAAAATATCTGGTTTGTATTTTTCCCGTCAGCATCCATGTCTCATTGCTTTGAGCTTATTTGGTTGATTGAAATTGTAGACGAAGCTGGTTTTATGTTGGGGGTTTTGTAATGAAAAAGTGAAGTTAATTCAGGGAATATAGGTTTTTCTGCCACTTCTTGCAGGATATTTCAGCTCTCTGAGGGACAGATGCTGTTGCTTTCATTTCTGCATCTCTATGCATGGCGTAAGACTCCCTTGACCCTACTCCTGGAAAGCTTTGACAATTACACTGAAAAGTAGGGATTCAGTCAGCAATTCAGAAAATACCCCTGTGGAGGAGCCACACCACTGGGGAGGTGCAGGAAAACCTCAGCCAAGCCTTGGGAACTGAGAGCATCCAAACCTACACTGCCATTATCATATGTCCTTCAGAGCATTGGTCTTTTCTTTTTTTCACTTAGTATCTTTCAGCTGGCTCAAAATTATAACCCTCTCAACATATAATTAGTACCCCCTTATAAACACTATGCATGGTTTAAAAACTCCTCCAAGCTCTTGTACTGCAGCAGAAATATCCTGTAAAGGTGAGTGAAAGGGCTATTTTTATACTGGAAGATGAAGGTGCTCTGCATGCACGCTTGTCTGCAGTTGTGGAGGAGCAGAGCAGGTGCAGGTCCTTGAGGGACTGTGAGAGTTGGGGTTCTTCAGCCTGGAGAAGAGAAGGATCTGGGGGACTGTAGAACAGCCATCCAGCACACAAAGGGGTTTACAAGAAAGGTGGAGAGGGACTTTTTACAAGGGCATGTAGTGACAGGACTAGGGGTAGAGGCTTTAAACTGAAAGAGTGCTGGCTGAGATTAGATATTAGGAAGAAATTATTATCTGTGAAGGTGGTGAGACACTGAAACAGGTTGCCCTGTGAAGAAGAAGCGGTGGGTGTCCCATTCCTGGAAGTGTTCAAGGTCAGGCTGGATGGGGCTTTGGGCAACCTGCTCTAGTGAAAGGTGTCCCTGCCCTTGGCAGAGGGATTGAAAGTAGGTGATCTTTAAGGTCCCTTTGAACCAGAACCATTCTGATTCTATAATCCTGCCCGGCTGTCTCTGCCAGGTCTTTAGGGAACCAGCAAAATGGGTTTTTTTAATGTATTGTGACCATCAAAATGCATGTGCTGTATTGTCCCCTTTTCTGAAAACGCTTTTATAAGAATTAAGAACCATTAAAATCTCTCAGATGCATGCATTTTTGTCAGACCAATAGAAAGAAATGCACTACACAGTGTTGAGAGATATCTTTTTAAACTGCAAACCCAAATTTTATGTAGCATTGTATCAACATTGCCATTAAGTGAAAGAATACATCTGTAAGTTATGATACAATTTTATTGGTGGGTGTTGACATGAAGTGTCAGCCTTCTATATTGGATTAATATGTGGGATTATGTGCAACACATGTAGTAATCAGTGGGTTTTTAAAATTCATCACATTATTCTTGTTTTGTTAAACAGTCACAGGTTTCCTAGCTAATTGTGAATATCTTCTTTTTATGGCATGAGTTTTAGACAGTGGGGGCTGCCTTATTCTATTGTAATAACTCTTTGAGCTCTCTTCACTGCTTTGCCCCGAGGCCCAGGGGGAAGCTCAGGATCTCAGAGGGTTTTGCCCCCTGATACCAGCTGCCCAGGAAAGCTCCAGGGCAGTGCTGGTGCTGGAGAGGTTGCTGGTGAGCTGTGCTGGAGGTCCCCTACTCACTAAATGCTGTGTAAACCAGCGTTGGCTGTTGTTGATCCCAGGCTCACAAAATGATTAGAAGGGACCACTGGAGGTCATCTAGTTCAACTTCCCTGCTCAAGCAGGGCTCCCCAGAGCACACTACTCAGGATTGTGTCCAAAAAGCTTCTGAATAGCTGCAGAGAAGGAGACTCCACAATCTTTCTGGGCAGCCTGTTGCGGTGCTCTGTCACTCAGAGTAAAGAAGCTTTTCCTCATGTTCAGGTGGAACTTTCTGTGCACCAGTTTCTGCCATTGCCTCTTGTCCTATCACCTGGCAACACCAGGAGGAGCCTGGCTGCATCCTTTTGGTGCCCTCCCTTCAGATACTGATAGACATTGATAAGGTCCCTTCTCCAGGCTATACAGGCCCAGATTCCACAGCCTTTGCTCAAAACTGAGATGTTCCAGTCCCCTAATCATCTTTGTGTCCCTTCATTGGACCTATTCCAGGAGTTCCTTGTCTCTCTTGCACTGAGGAGCCCAGAACTGGACAGAGAGCTCCAGATGTGGCCTCACCTGGGCTGAGAAGAGGGGCAGGATCACCTCACTGGACTTGCTGTCCATGCTCTTCCTATCATCCCAGAATACCTTTGGCCTTCTTGGCCTTCTTGATCACTCTGGCTCATGGACATTTTGTTGTCCACCAGGACCTTCCCTGCAGAGCTGCTTCCCAGCAGATCAGCCCCCATCCTGGACTGGTGGTCCCTGGGGTTCCTCACCAGGTGCAGGATCTGCATTCACCTTTGAGTTTCAGATGGTTCTCTGCCCATCTCTCCAGCCTGCCCAGGTCCTTCTGAAGGGCTGCACACCTCTGTGGGGTATTGGCTGCTTCTCCCAGCTTTGTGCCATCAGTGAACTTGCTGAGGGAGGTGTCTGCCCCTTGTCCCAGTCATTGATGGATCAGTTAGATGATACTGGACACAGTATTGAGCCTTGGGGAGCACCATGAACTACAGGCCTCCAACTGGACCTTGTGTCACTGACCACAGCCTTCTGAGATCTGCTGATCAGTTTTCTTTCCACCTCACTATCCACTCATGCAGACCTGATGAACTCAGAAGCATTTTCTTGTTGCTGACACTTTGTCTTTCCTCCCTGCTTCCCACAGGTGAAAGTCTTTTCCTTCTCCAGCATCTTCTGTGTCCTGCTCCTGGCGTGTGCCTGTGTGGTGGGGCTCTAGTAAAGTGGAGAGAGAGAGAGGAAAAAAGGAAATTAGGAGGAAGGAGTGGATTTTAGCTAGAGTTACAAGGAAATTTGAGACACCGGTGTTGTGTCTCTTCCTGCAGGAGAAGGCTGCACAGGTGAGTCAGAATCAGATGGAGGCGTGCACTGCTTTGTCCCTTTCCCATGATGTTTTTTGGGAGCAGCTGGAGAAGCATCACATGCAGACTAGCAGAGGTTCCAGCTACTGAGGCCAGGCAGCTCTGGGGCCAGCCCTGCACGGCTGCTGCCCTCATCGCTCCAGCAGGACCGCTGCTGCCTCGCCCGAATCTGGGCGCAGTGTGGGTGACCAAGCATGTGTCACTGCGGCTATGAATAAAACTTCAGCTGTGTGTCACTTAGAAAGACCCTAATTTTAGCTAGCCAGCGTGTCACTGAGGTGCCCCGGCACCCTGGCAGGGCAGCTTTTGTGCCCCATCATACCAGGTGTACAATGTGTGTTTTCCTGCGGGAGGCTGGGGATGCGGGAGGAAGAGGAGGAGCGCGTTTCCCACAGGGACAGGGTTAAGGGAGCAGCCGGCGCGGGCAGCCCCAGCGAGCCCGCGGTGTTTGCCTTGTCCGGGCGCCCGCGCTGCCGCGGCGTGCGCGCAGCGTGACGGATGACCCATGGAAATCATTGCGGAGCAGGGCTGGCGTTGCCAGGACAACGGCGGCTCCCCGGGCCGGGCCGGGCCGGGCCGGGCCGTGTGACGGGCGCCTGACGTCAGGGGGGCTGAGCCTGCGGCCCCGGCCGCGCCGGCAGACCGGGAGAGACAGAGCCCGCTGGATGCTGCAGCCATCCCCGCACCGCCACCGCCACCGCCGCTGAATCCCGGGGGCTGCCGGAGCATGGACTGCTGAAAACTTGCATTTCTGCAGCGTGAGGTAACCGTTTGCTTTGTGTTCTCATCAGGTTTGGGTTATTTTCCTTAAAAAAAAAAAAAATAGAATAGAAAGCAGCTTGTATCAGTGACTGATTTTTTTTTTTTCACTTGTTTGTTTTGGCTGGAAGTTTGCCTTGATGAACAAATCCAGCGCTATCAGATAAATGCAAAGCGGCTTGCAGTTACTAATTCTGTGTGTAGACGGCAAAACGGAGTTAAATATAGATTAATGATCCATGAAAGGAGAATAAAATGATATCGCTCTCGTTTGACACTTTAGGAATATAAATGAACGTGAGTAATCCTACGCTAATGCATTCGGGAGTTAAAAGAAATGGTGTTTAGGCGCTGTGTTTTTTATACCTTTGCTGGAATTTGTTGTTTTTTAATTCTGCCCGGTTCAGGCGGGTTTGTACCCAGTGTGTCCAGTGAGGGGGAAGCCAGCAGTCACTGCAGCCAGGAACAGCTTAAAATCCAACTCTCAGAGTTCAGCATTGAAATCATCTTTGTTCGCGCGGGGTCCCTGCGCGCTGCCCGGGCTCTCTGCCCTCTCCCGGGGCACTCCTGCCTGCATCGTCTTACAGAGGAGAGAATCAAAACCTTCCTGAAAAATTGTCTGAAATACGCCGAGAGAGCGGCGTTGCTGCAACACAGGCTTTTACCCATTTTCTCACAAGCACACACACACACACAGGGCTTGTTTATTCTCTCTCTCTCTCTCTCTCTTTTTTTTTTCTGTTGTGCATTGAGATCAGTTAGAATAGCTAAAAAAAGAACTGCAGCATGAGCAGCATGATTTTTCAATCACCACAGTGACTGAAAAACGAAATGCTGTTTGGGTCTTTTTGTACAAACAAGAGGGAGTTTGTGTCTGTTTCTGTATTGCACTTACTCCGAGGTGCCTGTTGTGGGGAAGGATATCCCAGAGCTCCTGAAGTTTAGTGCCACAGGCTGAGTTTGTTTGTGTGGGAACATATAGATTTGTTTTAAGAACAGATTACAGCTGAAGCATCATGTGCGTTGTTTCCTGGAAAAGTATGTTAGAGCTTTCTTATCTTCTCTAATTATACACTCCTATTCCCTTCCTCCCAAAGTTCAAAGGGTTTATCGATAATGGTAATGATTCTCCAAAGCAGCTGCTGGTCTAAAACAGTGTGGAGCTACCAGACAATTTAAAACACAGAGCAGTAAAAGATTAAAAAAAAAAATCTATAACAATTATTCTCATGTTATCAAATGCAGCATAAGTAATTGTTTCAGAAAGAGAGCCAAGACAGATATTAAAACTGAAGGCACTTCTCTAAGGAAGTTACGGCTTAGTGCTCTGGATTTCACTGCATTTGGCATTCTTAGCAGAGAACAAGGATAAATGCTGAAACATCTGAAATGTCTAAACCATTTCATTTGGTGTTATCTCATCAGTCCTTTCCAATTCTACTGATGCCCTAAGACATTACTGTTGGGGGGGCTGAAATATTTCAAACGGTCTTTATTAAATTCTTCACCTGATGCCACTGCACCAGTGCATGGGGAATCTCTCCTGGCTCCTCACAGGTGAGTTTTACCCAGGTTTGCAGGAGCCTGGCACCCTATGAGCAGCCTTGCCACGGGCAGTGAGCGGGCTCTGGGTGTCCCTGCCCGGTGACCTGCCTGGGCTGAGCTGCTGTGGGGAGATGTGTGCCAGCCCGGGGCTGAGCTGCTGTGGGGAGCTGTGTGCCAGCCTGGGGCTGAGCTGCTGTGGGGGGCTGTGTGCCAGCCTGGGGCTGAGCTGCTGTGGGGGGCTGTGTGCCAGCCCGGGGCTGAGCTGCTGTGGGGGGCTGTGTGCCAGCCCGGGGCTGAGCTGCTGTGGGGGGCTGTGTGCCAGCCCGGGGCTGAGCTGCTGTGGGGGGCTGTGTGCCAGCCTGGGGCTGAGCTGCTGTGGGGAGATGTGTGCCAGCCCAGGGCATTCATCCCTCTCCATCTGCATGAGAGGTCCCAGAGCGCAGAGATGGGCTAGCAGGGGAGAACAGGGAGGTGGTTGCTACAGCCCACCACCCTCTGAGTTCTGCTTATACTGCTGGGGTAAGTCTGCAGAGGGACCAAGGTGTGGAGTGTGGGGACAGATTTGAGCTGAGTGGCACCTGCCATTCAAGAGAAGTCATTCACCCTCACATCTGCAGGATTTGACTCCATGTGTAGCTGCTGTCACCTCCCAGACTGAACTTGAGTGATGAGGCTCAGTGTGGGCTGAGGCTCATGTTCATTCATTTAGGCTTGAATACAGTGTTCTGTAGCATTTGATTCCTTGAAACCACCTGTAAGGAGAAAAATAATTGATGCAACTTTTGCTCAAGAGCTATTCATTAGAAATGTCTTAAAAATATGGAATAGGGATACTTTTCTTTAGTGATACTGAGGTAGTGTTGTAAAGCTCTAACTTGACCTTAGAGTGAAGGATGGTAAACTGCTTCACATTTTAGCAGGAGGGTCCTGTACGTGCTGTTGCAAGAGGTCTGAGAGGCAATGTCATAGGGGGAGTGGGTGGGTGCCACTGAGGTTGGATGCGTCCTGCCTGGCAGAGTGACAGCTCTGTCCCCTCTTGATGAGTCTTTGGGGGCTTTTGGCATCCCATCACCAGGCTCTACCCATTTTGCCCCTGAGATGGGAATGAGCTGCAGGCAGGCAGCTCACAGGCAGTGCCGGAGTCTGCAGCTGGAGGTGACACAGATCCCTGCTCAGGAGAGAAGGGAATGGTGTGTGAGAGTCATCCTGGGGCTATGTGCCTCTGCTTGATGATTTCATGCTCTTGTTGTCACTGGTCAGCTCTGTGGCAAACCCTTTGGACAAGCTCTCGGGGTTACCTTGGCAGTTTGTGAAGCTGCCAGGGAAGGTCATGCTAAGCATCCCTCCCTCTCTGAGCTGCCATGCTTGCACCCAGCAGGAGAAAATAGCAAACAGCCTGTAGGCTCCTTCCCACCACCAAGAGGGGAAGGGGGCTGCATCCTTCCCCTTCTGCCCGACGCCACAGCTGACACTGCCAGCTTCCCTGGGCTTGAAATCCTCTGACATAAAGAGAAAAGATGTGAGATGCACATGGGCTTGGCAACACTCCACCTCCTTTTAGGGAGTCTAGACTGACCCTCCAACTTCCCATCAGCCTTCATGTCATTAGCAAATGTCACCCCCTTTGCACACCCTCGAGGGAGGGACGATCTCTTCCTCCAGACTCCTTGTCCATGGCAAAGGGAGAGCAGAGCAGCAATTCTGAGGAACTGGAGCACTGCACCTTAGGAAAGAGCTTGGCTAAAGTCACGTCTGAGATCTCCTCAAGTCACTTCTCACACAACTGCATACAGCAGGGAAATCAAAACCAGATGTGAGCTGTTGATGCCTCTAGCCTCATAATAATAACGCACTCAGTGTGCTCTACCTTGATCCGGGTGAGTTGATGGGCAATGACAATCTAAATTTAGGCCAGAATCATAATAAAACCTAAAAGCCCCTTGCAGGACAGAGCACTACTCCTTGAATTTTTTCAAACAGAATGCGATTTCTGCTGTCTTTGTAAAGGTCCTAGCTACTGCTGAGGCAATATTCATGGGGGGAATAAAATCCTCTGTAGAGGGTGGCAGTTGTCAGTGGGAACTGATGCTTCAGTATGGAGTTTCAGGATCTTAAATTACTTATTGCAGAAGTTGGTTCCCACTCTGCTAAAAATCATTACATTGTGCTAATTTAATGTCTGCATCAACATTAGGAACAACTGGTTTAAATGATAGCTGATCTGCAGTAGAGAGTTGGCATTTTAACCAACAGTTGTTTTTCCAATTAAACACAGATGCCATACGTAGGGTACTCTGAATGCAAAATAAAAGCTGACCTGGCTGTTGGTTCCAAGCTAAAGCAACAAAAATCCTAACTCTGGAATGTTTTTGGTAGTCATATTTTAGAAATAATCTTCTATGGTGAGCCAAAATCTGTACAGACAGCTATAGTCAGATAACAGTTTAAAAAATAGACTATGTTTTGGCTGTACTTTTGCAGCTGTTAAATTTATCTTCTTAAATAGCAGGGAGTATGAGTTGAGGGTTGAGAAACAGTAATTTTGTAATTATTTTATATGGATTGAATTATTCTGTCATCAAATTTGCATTTCAGACAGCATTACAGTATGAAAATATAATTAGAAACTGTAATTCAGGAATTGCTGAATATGATATTTCCCAGAGGGAGCACTGTGAAGAAGCTGCCCTTACTACAACTTTAGCAAATGTTGAAATCCTATAGGTGGAAAATGTGAAGGCTGAGTTGTAAAGTTCCTCTCCCTTCTGTGGTCTTCACATACTGTCAGTTCTCTGCTTAACTTCATTTTTTCATAAGATTCATTTCCACAGAATCATCTAATCATTATGAGCTGTAGGGCTCAGATCCTGTTCTGCTGAATTTCAGACTGGCTGTGCTGATAGCTGCTGAATTGCTTTCAGCCACAAAATGACACTGAGACAATGTAAGGATCTGATTTACATGCAGAAAAACCAAGAAGCTTGTAGTTTGGTCTGAAATGCTGGTTTCAATTTGCCCAGCACCTGAAATTCCCAGCCACGCCTCCTTTCACAGGAGATAGCTGAGGATGGTTCTTGGTTTAGCTCTGTTTATCTTCTTTTGTAGTTCACTATTTTTTGCAGTATGTGTTCACAGTGTTGTGCAAAGTTTTAGCTGTATAAAATCCACTGATGTCAATCCTTGTGTTTTTTATTCTTTTGATAATCTATGGCTTATCATAGACATACTGCCTGGAAACAATCATGTCTTGTGTTTTTTATCTGGGCTTCATTTGACAAATCCCATATGCTTTTGTTTGAGACATGCACTTTTTAGGAGAACATCTCCATGGCCAATTTTTTTCCCACCACCTTGTTGGGACATTGGCCAGGTCCTTATGTGAAACCATGCCTGTGGTGCACAAAGCACGGATGGCAGTGGGAGGAGACAGAAGCTGAGTGTGGGGCACGCTTGACGCTT